TGGCACAAGTCCCACTGGCTGCTCTCTGAATGAACATGGAGGAGGTAGAGTGAAAGGTTGCACAATGATTTATTGCTGCATTTGCACCTAGATCCCAGTCAGATAACTCAAGTTCAATAAACTCCTCTCACATACACACACGCGTGGCTTTCTAAGACTTCAGGAACCGGAGCAGTTACCCCTCCATGCGCCTGCAGATAGATTAGCATCCAGCTCAAAGCAGCAGCACATCAAAAGAAGCTTTGATGCTCAGTATGGCTTCACAGAGGGGCAGGTGAGGGAAAGGGTGGCCCCGTGCAGTCAACAAGGATTCTTGGAAATACTCCCAGCTTTTAGAGCTGGAGGGATCTATAGCCTTCTCGGAATGGGAGATAGATGCAGAGGCTGGGAAACCTGCAGCTTTATTCGGGATGAAAAAGCGGCGAGGGTGGCCGTGTGCTCTGGAGGTTCAGTGGTTTGAGTGGGACCATATGGAAGGCTATTCATGTCAATGAAATGATGAATAGACGATTATTCAAGCTTAGTACCTGGTATTTGCTTTATAGCGGTGATCATTCAAAGCACAAACCGAGAAATGAATGTCAAATCGTACCTATTGCACAATATGATTATTATTTAATTAACACTTCCAAGGTGTAATTGCTCAAAAGTGTGAAACGCAGCTCAAGAGAACTCTGTGTGTTAGTCACTGTAGTCTGTCAGACAGGATGACTTTTACACTGTAGAAAGCGATGATCTGAAGTTAAAAACGTCTTGATGAATTTGTTTATTACAAACACCCAGCTTGTTGTTAATTGTAATGTTTTATCAGCTGTTTGGACTCTCATTCTGATGGGAATGTCAATGGAAAAACATCTAACTCGCCGAAGACTTTTGCACAATGCTGTATTGTACACCCCTACATCAAACCAGAAGTAATTCATCTTGGCCTAAGCCGGTCATTTTTTTCAGCAGGGAGTGCTATTCCAAACATGCATAAGCCACCTTGTCTTGTGTGTGAATTGCTCATCTCCTGATGCTACTGTTGTGCAATAACTGTGTGTGTTTTTAGCCACCAACTGTTTGTGTCTGTACCCACCAAGAAATCACAGATGGCAATGACAAAGCATAATCAAAGAAAACAATGACAAAAAAGGTTTTCCTCTGGTTGGAAGCAATCAAGCATCCCCTGGCAGTTATTTGATCACAAAATAATTCAGGTAGCCCCGGCAGTGTTGTTTCAACACAGGGAATATGGCAGATACACTCCGTCGATCCGCCCTGTTTTATGGGCGGCTGTTACAGCTTCTGCTGGCAAATATCCCCGAGAGCATGTGATAGTGTCTTGCAGTTTTTAATTAATGCATAAGCCTGGCGATGTTAATTAAACCCAGACTGATCATTACCCACCAGGAAAGATCATAAGGATGCTTGTGCTGGCGGCCAACAAATGCTGATCTCAACTGAGGAGTTACTCTAATAACCATTCAGCTCAGGTGCAGTCTTTAGGGACTTAAATAATTGGGGATTTTTAGGTAAATAACTGCTTATTCAATTTATCTTGGCTTTGTTAAATATCATAATAAGGGGAGCGTAAAGGGGCAGTTCACCCCTAAAAATTTGACAAAATCATTTAGTAAAATTGATTTAGTCACCCTCCTCATGTCATTCCGAACTTGCCATTTCATTTTTTTTCTTCTTCTGTGGAACACAAAATAATTTTGGTAACCAAAAGCATATTTTGAAGAATGTTGGTAACCAAAAGTGTATTTTGAAGAATGCTGGCAACGAAAAATATATTTTGAAGAATGTTGGTAACCAAAAGCATATTTTGAAGAATGTTGGTAACCAAAAGTGTATTTTAAAGGATGTTTGTTAGCAAAAAAAAAAGAAGAATGTTGGCAGCCAAACGTGTATTTTGATGATTGTTGGTAACAAAAAGTGTATTTTGAAGAATGCGTGTAACCAAAAAGATATTTTGAAGAATGTTGGTAACCAAAAGTGTATTTTGAAGAATGCTGGCTGCGAAAAAGATATTTTGAAGAATGTTGGTAACCAAAACTGTATTTTAAAGGATGTTTGTAAGCAAAAAAAAAGAACAATGTTGGCAGCCAAACGTGTATTTTGATGATTGTTGGTAACAAAAAGTGTATTTTGAAGAATGCGTGTAACCAAAAAGATATTTTTAAGAATGTTGGTAACCAAAAGTGTATTTTGAAGAATGCTGGCAACGAAAAAGATATTTTGAAGAATGTTGGTAACCAAAAGTGTATTTTGAAGAATGCTGGCAACGAAAAAGATATTTTGAAGAATGTTGGTAACCAAAAGTGTATTTTGAAGAATGCTGGCAACGAAAAAGATATTTTGAAGAATGTTGGTAACCAAAAGTTTTGGTTATCCAAAATACACTTTTGGTTACCAACATTCTTTAAAATATCTTCTTTTTGTTCCACAGAAGACACAGAAGAAA